TCGTTGTCGTTTTTTTCTCGTCTGTTTTCTTGGTACCAAATCTCTGGTCTCATTGTTTTTTCACGTCTATATTTAAACCAGTTTGTCATTAAATATTTCTACTCAATTAAGCCGCTCCAGAGGCTAATGAGGCGACGCCAGGACCCGCCAGGCCCCGTCAGGCCCCGCCCCCCACCGCCGCCGCCGCCCGCCAGCTAACACGTGCTAACATCTGCTAACCGCGCTCAAAAACAAAAACACAAATAGAAACAGAAGCAGAAACACGAACAAAAACAGAAACAAAAACAAAAACACAAATGAACAAAAACAAAAAACAAAACACAAAACAAAAAAACAAAACACAAAAACATAAAAACAAAAACACAAAAAAAATAAAAACAAACAAAAAACACAAACAAAACTGAAACACACAAACGAAAACAAACAAAAACAAAAACAAAACAAAATGAAACAAAATAAAAACAAAAACAACAAAACAACAAAAACACAAACAAAACACAAACAAAAAACAAAAACAAAAAAACACAAATAAAACAAAAAACAAAACAAAAAACACACAAATAACACAAAACACAAAATAAAAACACAAAACACAAACAAACAAAAACACAAAACACAAACAAAAAACAAAAAATAAAAACAAAAAAAACACAAATGAACAAAAACACAAATAAAAAACACAAAACAAAACAAAAAAAACAAAAAACACAAACAAAAACACAAACAAAACAACAAAAACAAAACAAAACAGAACAACAAAAAACACAAAAACAAAAACACAAACAAAAACACAAACAAAGAAACACAAACAAAAACAAAAAAAAACCACAAAAAAACACAAAAAAACAAACACAAAACACAAAAAACACAAACAAAACACAAAACAAAAAAAACAAAAACAAACAAAAACAAAAACAAAAACAGAAAAACACAAACAGAAACACAAACAAAAACACAAACAGAAACAAAACACAAACACAAACAGAAACAGAAACAGTCCGGGCTGAAACCAGACCTCGTCGTTTGTGGTTTCGGTCTGCGTGACTTTTAGCCCGGCGGACGCTGACAGGACGGCGGGGTTAGCGAGGGAGGCCGTCGCGGTGCCGCTCGTACGCTAACAGCAGATATACTTAGAAAAATACATTAGTGAGAATCGACCGGCCGCGGGATCGATGACGGACGAGAGAGAAAGAGCACGGACCAGAGACGCTCCGGGGAAAACTCAGGGACAGACGCCGACGCCGACGAAGACAGAACAAGAAGAAGAAGAAGAAGAAGAAGAAGAAGAAGAAGAAGCTGTTTTTAGATTCAACATTTGAGACAAAGACGGAAAAAAAAAAACAGATCAACGACTCAACGCGATTAAATCTAAGTTTAGGGAAAAGAAAAAGAGAAAAAAAAAAAACACGTGAGGGTTTTGGGAAGTGGATCGATTCTGGTTTAGTCCTGTTTTTAGTTCTGGTTTTAGTCCTGAATTTAGTCCTAGTTTAGACCTGGTTCAGTCCTGGTTTAGTCCTGGTTTAGACCTGGATTGGTCCTGGTTCAGTCCTATTTTAGACTTGGTTTAGTCCTGGTTCAGTCCTGGTTCAGTCCTGGTTCAGTCCTGGTTCCTGGTTCAGTCCTGGTTTAGTCCTGGTTCAGTCCTGGTTCAGGTCCTGGTTTAGTCCTGGTTCAGTCCTGGTTCAGTCCTGGTTCAGTCCTGGTTCAGTAGTCCTGGTTCAGAGTCCTGGTTTAGTCCTGGTTCCCTGGTTCAGTCCTGGTTCCTGGTTCAGGTTTGGTTTAGTCCTGTTTTAGTCCTGGTTCAGATGTTATAGTTTATAATTAATGTTCTGTAGGTGATTATAAACATTAATAACATGATAATAACACGGATAATTCCATGTTAATTACATGTTAATAACAGGATTCTGCATCATTTTGCGTAAAAAAACCACCAAATATTTCAGATTTTTACTGGACTCCTGAAAGTGAGTTTTTTTTCTAACCGGTCGACTTTACTTTTCTGAAAACTCGTCTCTGTGATTGTCGAAGTGTTTTGCTCGTAGTTAAAGCGGGACTTGAACCTCCAGCCTCGCCCTCAGGTGAATGACGTCATGTGACCTGTGTTCTTCTTCTTCTGCAGGTACGTCGGTGATCCAGGTGACGGCGACGGACGCGGACGACGCCACCTACGGGAACAGCGCCAAAGTGGTGTACAGCATCCTGGAGGGGCAGCCGTACTTCTCTGTCGACCCGGATACAGGTCAGACACTCACTCAGGTTTTCATTTAGGGATCTGTCGCCTGCTCGTTTCCATGGAGACGCTGTTGTTCTGTCTGGAATGTTCCACAGTGTGACATTAAGTGCATTTAGGTGCCAAAGTTTTTCTCCGTAAAACGTTTGATTCTGACGTGATGTTAGTCCTGGTTTAGCTGGTTTAGTCCTGGTTTAGCCCTGATTTTCATCCTGTTTTAGTTCTGGTTTTAGTTCTGGTTTTAGTCCCGGTTTCGTCCTGGTTTAGATTTGGTTTTAGTCCTGATATTAGTTCTGGTGTAGTTCTGGTTAAGTCCTGTTTTAGACCTGGTTTTCATCTTGATTTACTCCTGGTTTAGTCCTAGATTTAGTCCTGGTTTTAGTCCTTATTTTAGTCCTGGTTTAGACCTGGTTTAGACTTGGTTTAAAGTTGGTTTTAGTCCTGATTTTTGACCTGATTTAGTTCTGGTTTAGTCCTGGTTTAATCCAGGTTTTAGTCCTGATTTTAGACCTGGTTTAGACTTGGATTAAAGTTGGTTTTAGTCTTGATTTAGTCCTGCTTTAGACCTGGTTCAGACCTGGTTTAGTCCTGGTTTAGTCCTGGTTTAGTCCTGGTTTAGTCCTGGTTTATTTTAGACCTGGTTTAGTCTGGTTTAATGGTTTAGTCTTGATTTAGTCTTAGGTTAGTCCTGGTTTAGTCCTGTTTTTAGTTTTACCTGGTTTTAGACCTGGTTTAGTCCTGATTTAGTTGGTTTAGTCCTGGTTTAGACCTGGTTTAAATGTGGTTTAGTCCTGGTTTAGTCCTGGTTTGACCTGGTTTAGTCCTGATTTTGACCTGGTTTAGTTCTGGTTTAAACCTGGTTTAGACTTAGTTTAGTCCTGGTTTTAGTCCTGATTTTTGACCCAGTTTTAGTCCTGAGTTTAGTCCTGGTCTAGACCTGGTTTAGATCTGGTTTAGGCTTGATTCAGATCAGTTTCAGACCTGATTCAAACCTGATTTAGTCCTGGTTTAGTCCTGTTTTCATCTTTAGGACTCATGAACACGTGAGATAAATGAGGAAAAACTTTGGACCACAAGTTCTGTTTTTCACGTTTTTCAGACGATAAAAATCAGGTCCAGCGTCTTTAATAAAACTGAAAATGCTCCTCTTCTCTTCTTTTCTTTTCTTTTTTTTTACTTAATCCTTCCGTTCTCTTCCTCGTGCGTTTGAAAACCTGCGCGACACCTCTGGGTTCCTTTATTTACGGCGTCATAAAAGAGTCATTTCAAAAGCTTTTTCTCACATTTGAACACGAACCCGACGTGAGAATCTCATTTTTTATTCGCGGGAAACGGCACTTCGCTGTGACGTGTCTCTGTCGCCGCGGAAACAGAAGTGTGGAGATATTTACCGCGTTAAAATTTAATTCGGAATAAAATAAATAATGCGTCAGATTATAGAGACGCTTTTGGCACTTTTACACCAAAAAGTAAAACCGACATGAAAAAAAATAAAACAAGAAAAAAGCTTTGATTTTAGTTTATTTTTTAGGTTTTAAAAAACGTTTTCATACAAGTTTATTTTTCTGAGAAGTTTTCAGACCTCAAACTTTTACTCCAAACTGTGCCGTCCAAGGACTAAACTGGGACTAAACCAAGACTAAAATCAGCATTAAACCAGGACTAAACCAGGTCTAAATCAGGTCTACATCAGGATTACATCAGGACCAAATCAGGACTAAACCAGGACTAAACTAGGTCTAAAATCAGCATTAAACCAGATCTAAACCAGGTCTAAATCAGGTCTACATCAGGATTACATCAGGACCAAATCAGGACTAAACCAGGACTATACCAGGACTAAACTAGGTCTAAAATCAGGACTTAAACTAGGTCTAAAAAAGGTCTAAACTAGGATTAAACCAGGTCTAAATGAGGTCCAAATCAGGTCTAAACCAGGACTAAACCAGGTCTAAGCCAAGTCTAAACCGGGACTAAATCAGGTCTAAACTAGGTCTAAAAAAGGTCTAAATCAGGTCTAAACCAAGACTACACCAGGACTAAACTATGTCCAAACGAAGTCTAAACCAGGTCTACATCAGGACTAAACCAGATCTAAACTAGGACTAAACCAGGACTAAATCAGGTCTAAATTAAGTCTAAACCAGCTCTAAATGAGGTCTAAACCAGGTCTAAATCAGGACTAAACCAGGTCTAAAAACAGGAGATTAAAATGACTCAAACACACATGAATCTCTCCAAACACAAATTGTAGTGAAAAAATAAGAAGGAAACAACAAAAACTAGATTAAATTTTGTTCTTTCCTCTTTCGTCTAAATCTCAGGTATAATGATCCCTACTAACATGTTGACGTGTGTGTTTTTCTGTTAATTCTTCTCTGGACTCTGGACTTGGACTCTGGACTTGGACACGTTTAACTGCGGTGGGCGTGACACGTGTGAGTCACTCGTGCAGCTGTGAGGCGGGTGAGGCGGCTGACAGGTGCGCCCCTGTCAGATCTGCTGCGTACATCATGACCGCCGGGGCTCCACACCTGCAGCTCGTCTAAAAATAAAAATAAAAAAATACTCAAAATACTCAAAATACACGCGCGGCCGCCCAACGCAATTACTGTTGTTAGATTAGAGCTCCAGCAGGGGGCGCAAGGAAACACGTGCAGATGATTCTTTACAGTGACAAGTCCTAAACCAGGTCTGAACCAGGTCTAAACCAGGACTAAACCAGGACTAAACCAGGTCTAAACCAGGTCTAAACCAGGACTAAATCAAGTCGAAACCAGGACTAAACCAGGTCTAAACCAGGACTAAACCAGAACTAAACCAGGACTAAATTAGGTCTGAACTAGATCTGAATGACGACTAAACCAGGTCTAAATAAAAAAATAAAAAAAAAAAAAAAAAATGAGGAGCAAGGTAAAAATAATAATAATATTTTTTTTTAAAGTGAGGACCTTAGTAAAAAAAATAAAAAATAAAAAATAAATAACGGCTGTGATAAAAAAAATTTTAAAAAAAGAAAGAAATATAAAGCGAGAGCCCTGGTAAAAAAAATCTAATAAATAAATAAATTAATTAATTAAACAAAATAATAATAATAATAATAATAATAATAATAATAATAATAATAATAATAATAATAATAAAAGTAAGGACTTTGGTAAAAAAAAAAAAAAAAAAGAAGAAAAAAAAAAAAAGAAGTACCAGGACAAAAGTAAAAAAAAAATAAAATAAATAAATAAAAAGTGAGGACCACAGTAAAAAAATAAATAAATAAATAAATAATAATAATAATAATAATAATAATAATAATAATAATAATAATAATAATTTAAAAAGTGACGACCATGGTAAAAAAAAAAAAAAAAACCTGAGGACCATGGTAAAAAATAAATAAATAAATAAATAAAGAGGACTGCAGTAAAAAATAAATCAATCAATATAAATAAAAATGTGAGAACAAGTTACATAGTGCAGCTTTTCTTTACTGAATTAACCATGAGTCAGACTTGAGTAATTCATTCATTAAAATGTGTGGCTCGCCTCTCCAGAGACGTGACCTGTGACTTGAGCCGGTGTGAATCAAGAATAAGACACTTCCATTTGTGTTTCTCAGTGCAGACAGGAGCAGACAGGGGCAGACAGGAGCAGGGCAGACAGGAGCAGACAGGGGCAGACAGGAGCAGCAGGAGACAGGAGCAGACAGGAGCAGACAGGGGCAGACAGGAGCAGACAGGAGCAGACAGGAGCAGACAGGAGCAGACAGGAGCAGACAGGAGCAGACAGGAGCAGACAGGGGCAGACAGGAGCAGACAGGAGCAGACAGGAGCAGACAGGGGCAGACAGGAGCAGACAGGAAGCAGACAGGCAGACAGGGCAGACAGGAGCAGACAGGGCAGACAGGGGCAGACAGGGCAGACAGGAGCAGGACAGGGCAGACAGGAGCAGACAGGAGCAGACAGGAGCAGACAGGAGCAGACAGGAGCAGACAGGAGCAGACAGGGGCAGACAGGAGCAGACAGAGCAGACAGGAGCAGACAGGGGCAGACAGGGGCAGACAGGGGCAGACAGGAGCAGACAGGAGCAGACAGGAGCAGACAGGGCAGCAGACAGGGCAGACAGGAGCAGACAGGGCAGACAGGGGCAGCAGACAGGAGCAGACAGGAGCAGACAGGGGCAGACAGGAGCAGACAGGAGCAGACAGGGGCAGACAGGAGCAGACAGGAGCAGACAGGGGCAGACAGGGCAGAGGAGGACAAATCCAGATATAGACCTGGTCCAGACCTGGTCCACGCACATCTGGGATCAACCATGTTAGAGGCTCATCTGAAAGTGCTGAAAGAATCCAGACAGAACAAGGACTAAACCAGGACTAAACCAGGACTAAACCAGGACTAAACCAGGACTAAACCAGGACTAAACCAGGACTAAACCAGGACTGAACCAGGATTAAACCAGGACTGAACCGAGGACAGAACCAGAACTGAATCAGGACTAGACTAAACAAGGACTAAACCAGGATTAAACCAGGATTAAACCAGGACTGAACCAGGACTGAACTCGGCCAAAATCCAACCTGATCCAGGACTCAATCAGGACTAAAACAGAGCTGAACCCAAGGACCAAACCAGGACTGGACCAGGACTGAACCAGGACTGAACTGTGCCAAAAATCCAACTTAAACCAGAGCTGAACTAGGACTAAACCAGGGCTAAACCAGGACTGAATCAGAACTAACCAGGACTGAACAACGAATAAACTAGGCTCAAAATAGGACCAAACCAGGACTAACCAAGGACTGAACCAGGATTAAACCAGAACTGAACCAGGACTGAACTAGGACTAAACGAGGACTCAACCAAGGATTAAACCAGGACTAAACCAGGACTGAACCAGGACTGAACCAGGACTGAACTGGGCCAAAAATCCAACCTGAACCAGGACTCAACCAGAACTAAACAAGGACTAAACCAGAGCTGAAACAAAGCTGAACCCAAGGACTGAACTAGTACTGAATTAGGACTAAACCAGGACTAAACCAGGATTAAACCAGGACTAAACCAGGACTAAACCAGGATTAAACCAGGACTAAACCAGGACTAAACCAGGACTAAACCAGGATTAGACTAAACTAGGATTAAACCAGAAAAATAATTTACAGCATCTTCATTTAATTTTCTGAGTCTGAGTAAAATCATGAACCAAATCAAACCGAAAACTCTTAAAGCTGCACTGTGTAACTTTTCTGGCGGAGGTTATTGTTGGGACTGAAATGTTCCACACTATGGCATTAAACCTTTTTATCTTCACGGAGACCAAACCTGACCAGTCCTGGTTTAGTCCTAATTTTAGTCCTTATTTTAGTCCTGGTTTAGACCTAGTTTAGTTCCGGTTTTAGTCCTGGTTTAGTCCTGGTTTAGACCTGGTTTTAGTCCTGATTTTAGACCTGGTTTAGAACTGGTTTAGACCTAGTTTTAGTTCTGGTTTTAGTTCTGGTTTTAGTCCTGGTTTAGTCCTGGTTTAGAACTGGTTTAGACCTAGTTTAGTCCTGGTTTAGACCTGGTCTAGACCTGGTTTTAGTCCTGATTTTAGTCCCAATTTTAGACCTGGTTTAGACCTAGTTTTAGTTCTGTTTTTTGTCAAGGTTTAGTCCTGGTTTAGTCCTGGCTTAGTTCTGGTTTAGACCTGGTTTAGTCCTGGTTTAGACCTGGTCTAGACCTGATTTTAGACCTGGTTTAGAACTAGTTTAGACCTAGTTTTAGTTCTGGTTTTACTCCTGCTTTAGTCCTGGTTTGGTCCTGATTTTAGTCTTTATTTTAGTCCTGGTTTAGACCTAGTTTAGTCCTGGTTTAGTCCTGGCTTAGTCCTGGTTTAGAACTGGTTTTAGTCCTGATTTTAGACCCGATTTTAGACCTGGTTTAGACCTAGTTTTAGTTGTGGTTTTAGTCCTGGTTTAGTCCTGGTTTAGTCCTATTTTCATCCGTGACTAGAAAAGTTACAGAATGCACCTTTAGGACTCAGGCTCTGAACACATCAGATAAATGTGGAAAAACTTTGGACCAGTGCAAACCGTCTAAAAGAAACTAGTTCTGATTTTTCACGTTTTTTTCAGACGATAAAAATCAGGTCCAGCGTCTTTAAAATAACTGAAAAAACTCCTCTTCTTCTCTTCAGAACGTTTATTTTTCGAGGTATTTTTGAGCTTTAAAACCACCTGTGACTGAATAAACGAGAAGTAGAGCTGTTTACTGTCACACTGCGGAAAGTTCCAGAGTGCGCCTTTAGTAACCTGACGTCGTCTCTGTCGCCTTTCGTAACCTGACGTCGTCTGTGTCGCCTTTCGTAACCTGACGTCGTCTGTGTCGCCTTTCGTAACCTGACGTCGTCTGTGTCGCCTTTCGTAACCTGACGTCGTCTCTGTCGCCTTTCGTAACCTGACGTCGTCTGTGTCGCCTTTCGTAACCTGACGTCGTCTCTGTCGCCTTTCGTAACCTGACGTCGTCTCTGTCGCCTTTCGTAACCTGACGTCGTCTGTGTCGCCTTTCGTAACCTGACGTCGTCTCTGTCGCCTTTCGTAACCTGACGTGCGTCTGTGTCGCCTTTCGTAACCTGACGTGGTCTGTGTGCGTTGCGGCAGGTTTGATAAAGACGGCTCTCCCGGCGATGGACCGCGAGGTGAGGGAGCAGTACCAGGTGGTGATCCAGGCCAAGGACATGGCGGGACAGATGGGGGGTCTGTCCGGGACCACGACCGTCAGCATCACCCTGTCCGACGTCAACGACAACCCCCCCAGATTCACCAAAGGTACGACAGGCTGCCATTTAACACTGATTTTATTTATTTATTTTTATTTATTTCATTCATAAAGTGTAAAAAAAAGAACATCAAACATACAAGAAAAGAGTGAAGACGACAGAAAGAAAAATCGTCTTCTGTTCTCTGCCGTCTTTTCCCTTTTCCAGACAAAACATCAACACCGATAAAACTTTTTAAATCAGTGCATTTAATTTCAGTCACAATTATTCATCAGTTGCAAACAGAGATCATCACATTTATGCGCAACAAATTTATTTTCTTTTTCATACCTTCACATTGCCCTGGATTTTATGCACTACGGAAGAATTTGCCCAATTTTGGCTGTAAGAATGTTTTCATAAATATTCGTGTGCATATTTGGGAAATCTGTGCATATTTGTCTGTAGATGAGCGTAAAATAAATATTCATAAACTTTCAAATGAGTCCAGTCGTAAAGAAAATGTGCTGTGTGTATTTTATCCATCAGAATATGAACTGAAAAGTTACGACGTCAAGAATTACAAATCACAAAATAAAAATGTACAATTACGCTTTCTTCAGTGCCAATTATTCGTATCATTGTTTAAAGCAGACATGTCAAACTCAGGCCCGGGGGCCAAATTTGGCCCATGATATAATTATATTTGGCCCGTGAGATCATATCAGATCATCTGTGTTAGATCTGCCGCCGCACACAGACGGACTGTAGAGAACATTCATCCATCCAGTTTCTTTCACTTATCCGGGGCCCGGTCTAAGTAGGGACTCCCAGACTTCCTTCACCCCAGACACTTCCTCCAGCTCCTCCAGAGGGACCCCGAGTTGTTCCCAGGCCAGTCCAGAGACATAGTCCCTCCAGTGTGTCCTGGGTCTTCCCCGGGGCCTCCTCCTGGTGGAACATGAACACCTCCTGAGGGAAACGTCCAGGAGGCATCAGAACAGACGCCCGAGCCTCAACTGCTCCTCTCCACGTGGAGGAGCAGCGGCTCTACTCCGAGCTCCTCACTCTGTCTCTAAGGGAGCGTCCAGACCCTGCGGAGGAAACTCAGTTGTGCCGCTTGAATCGGTGATCTCGTCCTTTCAGTCATGACCCAGAGCTCATGACCAGAGGTTCCCACCCTCACCTATAGAAACATTATTTATTTAAAATGTTGTTATTATTTTATATTCTGCTTGTTTAAGCAAAACTATTATTAAACATTTAATTTAATAAGAAAAGGTTTAACATTACATATGTCGAAAGAAGAGAAAACATGCAGATCTTGTAGAAATTTTTTTATAAATATTTAGTTTGGCCCACGACATAGTTTCAGTTTTTAATTCTGGCCTCTGTAAATTTGAGTTGGACACAGCCAACTTTTATTTGAACTTAAAATCTTAAAAATAAATAAATAAATAAATAAATGTAAATACCACCTGGTTGTTTTTATATGTAAATTACTACTCGGTTTATATTTTTTTTTATAATTTGTCAAATTTAAGGGATTGGATACCAGCACATCCACAATAAGACAGACTGAACTAAGCACACATACAAAAAAAAAACAATAATAAAAAAATAAAAAAATAAATAAATAAATAAAATAATAATAATAATAATAATAATAATAAATAAATAAGTAAATAATAATAATAATAATAATATATATATATATTTTTTTAAGCGTTATTTTAATATTTTTTAAGCCCATAGACCGTGTAAAGAAGTGGACTGAGCGAGTGTGACGTCACCCACAGCGTTCACCTCCAGCCAAATGAAGCTCATCGAGGCAGGCAAGTTACAGAAGCAAATTCGGTGACGAGTTCAATATTAGGATTAAGAACAGAAATTTATATCAGGATAAAATGGCAAAATAAAAACACCAGGATCATGTGTCGCGGGTTAATACGAACATTTAAGACCAAAACGACGAATCTCACGGCAGCAGTTACAGAGAGAGAGAAGCGACTGTTGTTCAGGGCAGTGCTGTGTGATGTCATGTAGTACTTGAAACTGCAGCGTCCACTTTTTTTACTGGTATTTAAAGCTGTAATTTACCTAATTTGCACTAAAATTGACCAAAAAGTACGAGGAACAGAACACAAAACAGCCACAAAACAAGTTGATTATTTAAACTTTAAGCACAAACTTTTTTTTCTTTTTCACAAATTTATTTACTTAAATCGTCTAATTGTCTTTTCCGAACGTTCTGGGAGGGCATCTGGCGTTTCCCTGAAGATGTATTTTTGCATGTAGACCGCGTGGAGTCCAGGACCGGGCTCAGACCAGGACTTAAAGTGGACTAAAAAAAATAAAATAAAGCGTCCTGGACCGTCACAGTTGAAATGGGCTCTGGCTGTGTCCTACAGACGTCCTTCCCACTCGTTCTGTTCTCATTCTCTCCATCACCGGCTCCTCTCCTCCCTCACATCCTTTTGTTCTTTTCGTTTGCTCCGCTTTGGATTTTTGCCGTTCCATTTCTATTTCTTTTTTTATTTTATTTTTTATCGTTAAACCTGGATTCAGAAGGGACGAGTTTGTTGTACCTGTTGTTAAAAAGCAAAAAATAAGTTCCGTCTTCCTAAATCCGTTTGTTTTTCAGAATAAAACCAAAAATAAGAAAACGAAAAAAACAAAAACTTCTTTATTTGTCTCCAAAAAAAACAAAAAACAAAAAACAAAATGGAGAATTATACATTTCTTAATTCCCTGGTTTAAACTGTGATGCTGGACTTTTGTGCCAAATATCAGGACTGAACCAGGACTAAACCAGGACTAAACCAGGACTAAACCAGGACTGAACCAGGACTAAACCAGGACTAAACCAGGACTGAACTGGGACTAAACCAGGACTGAAACAGGACTAAAACCAGGACTAAACCAGGACTGGAAACCAGGGACTAAAACTAAACAGGACTAAACAGGACTAAACCCAGGACTAACCAGGACTAAACCGGACTAACCAGGACTAAACCAGGACTAACCAGGACTAAACCAGGACTAAACCAGGACTAACCCAGGACTGAACCAGGACTAAACCAGGACTAAACCAGGACTAAACCAGGACTGAACCAGGACTAAACCAGGACTAAACCAGGACTGAACCAGGACTAAACAAGAACTAAACCAGGACTGAACCAGGACTAAACCAGAACTAAACCAGGACTAAACAAGAACTAAACCAGTTCTAAACCAGGACTAACCCAGGACTAACCCAGGACTGAACCAGGACTGAGTGTAGGGACGGGCCCGGAGGTTCGCCCGCTAACACTGTCGTGTGACCAGGACTGAGACTGGGACCAGACTGGGACAGGACCAGGACCAGACCAAGACTGAGACCTGGTTTATTCTTAGTTCATTTCTGATTTTTTCCATTTTTCATTTAAATTTTATTCCATTCATTCAAATCATTATCTTTTTGTCCTGTGGTCTTTTTTATGTTGGTTCTTTGCAGTGACATTAGGTGAGGGGAGCGCTGTATGTATGTATATGG